GTTAGAAAGTGAGTGGAATATGAAAATATATAATAAAATTAGTGAAGCAAAACTTCAGCGGCTTTCAAATTTCAGTAATCGTTTTCTCAAAACAACGTTCCAGGGTCTAAGTTCTCTGGTCTTTTAACCGTGAAATGTCTTTTGATTCTTCAAAACTAAGTCATAACATAAGTTTTCTAAGAAAAATAAGAATCGCAAGAATCTCTTTCGGCAGTCTCATGATTTCGATTCTGACGACATCAAAATAACCAGATACAATTTAGGCTACAAAAAATAAGTTATACTGTATAGGACTCATAGAAGCTAGCGTATTTTCGGATGAACCTTGCTCCAACGCAGATACCTGCCTCAGGCACCTAACTAAAGTACAAATTTGATTGTTGTCTGAATGGGAAAGAGGTGAAACCTGATTGTGTTCATTATTCACATAGACGCTTACTTACGTTAACTTTCCTCATACTAACAAACCCACGACATAGCCTCAAAATGTCCTTCTCCTAATTAAAATCTCCCCTGGCTATGAATTATTCAAACACAAAGCAAATGATTAACAACACTCTCGAGGTAAAGACTGCCGCAGGCAAAGCCCTGCCTCGCAAGGCTCTACAAGCATTAATTGAAATAATGGCTGCGCTGGAGTGAAGCGAAGGGGAGGAGTGGAAACATAACACAAACCGGTTGGGCTAGTCCCGGGTTTGCCAAGGCGGTAAGGTTGGGTATTGTTTTTGTCGGGAATGAGAGGCGGATTTGAGAACCGAAAGGACAGACTTCCGCTTGAAATGAGCGCTTTGTTCAAAGATAAAATGAGATTGTTACGCAACACTACTCTCAGGTCATTAATCAATTCCCGGAATTTTATCAGCCGATGCCTGAGGCATTAGATGGTATAATGTAATATAAATGTAAGCAAAGCTCTGGTAATATGTGTAATGGCATCCAGGAAATAAGCCGTTGAATTCTCTAAAGAAACATATATGGAATTTTGGTTTGTAAGAAGGCTTTGTGGATTAAAATAATTAACATTTCAGAATTACGATTTTGAACTTTTTAGGGGAACGAACACCGCAGGAACTCATCTGAACCTCTGGAAAATCCACCAAATACCCCAACGTTGATTTGGTTCTCTCTCTGGTGAACTATTTTTCAGATTACTCCCGGGATTTTCTAATAAAGTTTTTAAATACGGGAGGTTTCTGTTTCCTATTTTACCTTGAAATTTCTCGGATTTATGGTTGAAAATTTTCGACAAAATATTAACGTCGGACATGCTGAACGGTCCAATAAAACAATCATCGTTGGCGGCTCCGCATGAATGAAACTAAAACTTTAGCCTAAAAAAGAACAGGAGAGGCCAAAGACTGCGGCCAAAGAACTCATAAGAAAAGAACTCGTCGTGAGAGAAAACTCTTCAGCTGTCTTTTCTAAGAATCTGCGTTCTTTATGAACTTTCAGCAGAAAAATGGTCATTATTAGCCATTTTTTAGCCCCTTCTCTTTTTCTAACATTTCTTAGCGTAGATTTTCGTTCAACAAACACAGCAGCGCGATGTTGAACTAAAGTTATATTAGCTAGTAGTATTGAAGTAAACAAGGTTATGGCAAATTTCCCAATCATGTCCAATAACAGGATGACTACAAAGTATTTTTTTGTGCTTGTCTTCAATTCCAAGCATAAATAGCACGCCTTAAAATGCATTCTAGAAAAACAAATACAATTTATACAATGACGTAAAAACCCAAAGAAAGTAATAAAGGCTCGGACCTGTTATTTGCTCAGAGCATATCTTTTGAAATCCATAACTAATTACACTCCTGCACAAACAAAGCAGAATCTATTCGGAAAACCAAACCACAATCTCGAATTAAACATCAATAAAAATTATTTTTCAGGATTTCCAGTATTTTCGATAGGTCAAGAATTTTGAGTGACAAGTGCAGCGTTATTCAAAATGCACTATTACATTGCTGGCATTGGTTTTTTATAAAATTCGTAGCTAATTGACAGGGATGTTATTACAACTTACTCAATAATATACAAAGTGAGTAGCAGTTAAGAAGTGATACATAGTACGTAAAAAATTAGGAGAAGTGTATAGGAAAGTTCCAGGTAGAAGTGAGGAATGTAAAAGGAATGCCATAAATCAGGAAGAAAATTTATTAACTATGAGTAATAAATAAAATCTTTCATTAAATTACCCTAATTTTTATGTAATTTGACACGTGACAGACTTACTTCCACACAGTATTAGTTGAGTAAATCAAACGATTGGTGGTCCTAATGTTCATATGAGCAAAGGAAAAGATAAGGTTCAAATAAGGTAAGGGTTCAAATAACTGTCGCGCATTTTTAGAGAAATAAAAATTCCACGATGAATGTTCCTTCTCAACTCTTCGAACATTTTATAGGGCAAACTTTAGTGCACTATTTATAATTAACAAAACAGAAGAAAACATTAAATGTTTTGCACTTTTAGAAAACAGTATTTTTACAGGAAATAATGTTGAAATCATAATAAATAAGGTCAATCAAACGACTTCCAAAAATCTATTATTTGGGTGCATCGAAGGCAAACTTCCATACTGGGAAAGTCGGCAAAAAGCTAGAACAAAGTGGCTTTTATCTCTATGCAACATTACTCAGAGTCCCTTTCATTTACGAGGAAAAACACTCAAAGGATAAGAGATTTGCACTTCCAGAAAAATTTCCGCTTAAATTGACAATGGTTCGGTAATAAAAGAACCCATTAGGGAAGTCAAAACATTGAGCAAAGATTAGAAAATGAAACATGTAAAAGTTGTCAAATATTTTTTAGTGCGTTTGTCAATAAATGAGAAGCATGGATCTATTATTTTTTAGTTTTTCATAAATTCGACAACTTTCATGATTTTCGATATTTTGGTCGAAAGTTTTGCAAAAATATGGCCAAAATTACTTGAATCTTTTTCAAAGATTGTACACAGACAAAAGCATTTTTACACATACAATGCCTCAATTTTTGGGTCGCACGGAAGCTATGACCAAATACGGCGTACTTTCGAATTCCGCCTCCGTAAACAAAGCTTCTGCTTATTTCTCAGCAGTCATAAAATGCTTCAAAATAACTTTTATATTTTTATAATGGGCTCAACAAAGGGGTATACTTCAAAATAAAATATGCATTAAAAAAGGATATGGATTAGCCGAAGAACATCCTTCTCTTTTCGCTCCTTTTATAGAAAACTGAAACATGTGATGAGAAATAAATAAAAATATGAATTACAAATGGCAAGTTTCCCCTTTGGTTAAAAATTTTTCGTCGTGCATTATCCTTGTGATGAATATCGTCCATCGGTGAGGAATTTGTGTGAATGGAGCTCTTCGGAAATATTGGACATAGCAGGAAAATGAAACATTTACGTAATTTTACTCTCGCTCATAAGTTTTCGTCATAAATTCAATTCATATGTAAAAATTAATGTATCAATATTCAAGGAAAATGGATTGAAATTCAATTGGAATTTCTTTCGAACGCAATGAAAAATGATAACCTTTAGAAATAGTTGTTTTGATAAATACGTTTCATAATTTTAGTGGATTAATATTTTTTGTTTCCGAAATAGCTTTTTGGTGACACATTTTATGAATGATTCACTTTGTCACTGAAACATTTTGGTTGTCACTAATTGGGACATTCATCCGAGGGCCTAACTTGAATCCGGGTGGAATTATTTCTAAAACAGCAGAAAATTTTATCCCCATGGAACAAAGTTATGCCCCGATGATGAAACGTACCCACCAACATACTTTCACGTCTCATATCTTAATTAGCCTCAAAGAGCAACATTTTTAAAACTACGCCGCTATAAAATTTAGTGACAAAAAATTGGATGAGGGAAAAAATCTCCCAAATGTATCAAGATAAAAATTTTTTGCGAATAGCGAATTGTCCAAGTTTGTTAAAGTTGTATTTATCTAACATAAATAGCCCGAAATTGACCATAGATCGACTATTTCTCTCTTATTTAAAGTAGACGGGAGTGGAATGGGTAGCGGATGAATAACAAATGCCGAGCTTCCTTCGTTTGGCCATTCTTTTTTAGTGAATGCCACAATGCCGAAAGGAATTTGTGTGAAAAAGAGCCATAAAGACAAATGGGCTAATAAAATATGTATATAATTACTTTTTGATTCTGAAAGATGACTGTCTGAAAGATAAAAAGTAACGCGGAAGGAATTAGAAAGTTTGGTGGTTTTATTATGTATTCCGAGTAATTGGTTCCTTATGGACTTATTGGGTAATGTGAGCATTCGTCAGGGTATAAATTGAATTCAGAGCATAAAATGAGTCACTCTGGCAATTGAGATCATATGATACAGGAATTCCAGAAATCTGGCTTATTAAAGCTATTTGATAGACTTAGTTGATAGCACACATATTTGATTTAATATGAACGTTCTCATGATGTTTGGATCATAAACGATAAACATGATATTTCTATCCATACAACATTTTTTGTCTCAAAAATGAAAAATGAAAATTTTTAAAATCTTTGCATGCGGATTTAAAGTAGAGAATATGGGAAAGCAAAATTTCCCCAAATTTCAACAAAAAGTCAATTTAGACATATTTCTTGAGGAAAGAAAATTGATATGTTTTGCTTTGAATTTCGTTTCAGTTTCAAAATATTTGGATTTATCTCAAACTAACATTTACGTGTGCTGTTAAAACAAATGACCAAATGAAATTTGAAACTTCCATTCCAAAGTAACAGTCACATTTTCGATGAACTGCACCGGAACGCCGCAGGATGAAGACCTGGATGAACTAGACAAGAGACAGGTGTGTGACGGCATTTCTCAGTGCAAAAACAAATGACGAAAGCGAACAAAGGAAATGAAAATTCAAATGTACGCAAAAGGGCTTTGCGGGTTTCGGCCATAACAAAAAAATTGGTCTGTGCTAGGAGTAAAAATTGATTGAGAATGAGGGAAAATATTTTTGACAGAAAGAAAATATTCGATGCGCGCGAGTGGGATTGAACCAACCGACCTCCGGCCTCATCAGACCGACGCTCTACCACTGAGCTACGCACGCCATTTCCGTATTTGAGTCTTAGGAGACTATAATTTTGTTATGAAATACAATGGAGAAATTAACTTTTCGGGGAATTAAACTAATTTCCATAATGTTTACACTGTTCGGTAAAATTAATCATTGTTGTTTTAGTTATTCACACAACTTTTATTAAAAAGCGTTAAGCTTTAACGCGAAAGAAACATTTTAGTGTTGTGTGACTCATATTTTAGTATAAAAAATCATATCTAAAAAATATATAAGAAAAGAAATCTTTTCAAATGCGTTATAAGCCATGATTTCTTTCAAAAAGTACAGATGCTTCGGCCTGAATTTCACCCCGCGCTTTTGTTATTGTAACCAAAGTGTTATATAACAAAAGAGCACTTTTCAAATGTTATCGTTTCTGACAAATTCTGCACATATAAAAATACAGAACAAGGACAGAAATTATATATTTGAACCTAATTTACAATACGTTCAGCCTGAATATTTGGTATTGGTTCTAGACGATGTTTCTGCACAAGGTTAGTTTTCTTATAGGTGTAATCCTTTCCCATGTGTTGGATAAAAGTATTTAGTATACGTTTTAGGGTATCATAGCTTTGACATTGTTCGCTACAGTTACTGCTGCGCTTCTCGCGAAAGGTTAGTTGGAGATGCTATATAGTTATTACGAAGTGTGACGAGAAATAAAAATTTTTGTCAATAGCATTCATTCTTCTAAATTACAGAATAGAATAAAACGATAAAAAAATTTTCAAACTTTCTATCGTTGTTCTTTGGTAAAATCGATTTCTACAAACGAGTTTTGCCCAAAAATGCAAAATTATGGATATAGATCAAAGTTGTCTGAAAAATTCGAAAAGATTTAAGTCGCGTACAGACATAGAAATGACAAGGTGCGATTTTTCTAAAGACGTGACATAGTTTATTATGTTTTACAAATTTACATATTTACAAAAATATTTTAGCAGGACAGCGCTGCCCAGCTAACGAGGAATATGTGAAAAATCCACGTTGCCCTGATGTTGCCTGCAGTATGTTGAAAAAGGGACACGCTAGATCTGGCGACGGCGTTTCACCGTGTATGGTTGGTAACTTAACCATTGAGCCTGGATGCTTCTGTGTGCCGAACTATGCTCGCAATAAAGCTGGCATATGCATTCCTGTTGAGCAATGTAAACACCTAGATATGTCTGGTATGTTTGCTTTCTGGATATAAAAAGCAAAGTTCTAAGCAAAATTATGGATATACATCAAATACGTATTTGAAGAAAAATTAATAACGACTTAATTTACGCACAGACATATAAGATGATAAGGAAAACTTTTAAAATGTGTCATAGTTTTTACATGTTACAAAATCACGCTAAAATATTTTAGCAGAACAGCGCTGCCCAGCTAACGAAGTATACGCTGATGAGCCTACTTGCCCTGATATTACCTGTGATATGATTTGTGAGGTACCCCCAAGATCTGGCGATCCACCATGTGCGCATGGTAACCATACTTTTCGATCTCAATGCTACTGTGTGCCGGACTTTGCCCGCAACAAAGCTGGTATATGCATTCCTGTTGAGCAGTGTAAATGTACCCAAGGAATGTAAAGAATATATGCTGAAACTACGATATTTGATATTCATATGTAATTGAGCACACATGTGAATTAACACAAATTTTCATAATTAATAAAAGATTTAATATCCGCGGAGATTTGGATTTCAGATACTAACTGTTAACAATTAAACACTTGAAAACTAGGTTTGATGTAATACAGATGGTTTGTAACAGGTTGCCAGAAATTCAAACGGTACAATTGTAACTCCATTGGCAATTGTGTCAAAAATGACTTTAGAAAAGGCGTTCATACCATAAAAACATCATTTCATACCTCTATACCTGAGAACAAGGTTTATTATAATACAGTTGCTTTGTAAAGAGCTTTCATATCTCATGAGTAATCTCTCTTAGGAACATTTTTGGCTTGATTTGGTCATAATTTAAAAGTTTCCGCCCATAAGATGTCGTATGAGAAAAAATGAAAGATTTTTAATCTACGTTAGACATCTACTGATGAGACTCGACTAACGTAGTTTTAGAATAGTTCTAACCATCTAGAATTGGAGTCGAAACGGTTAGATAATCAATAGCATTTTACATCTTTCCTTCGTATCCCAAAAATCCTATTTTGTATAGCAACTTGTAAAATTTGTCATATTAGTTAAAGCTCTATTAGGAACATTTTTGGCTTGATTTGGTCATAATTTAAAAGTTTCCGCCCAAAAGAGATGTCGTATGAGAAAAATTTCCAGGGGACAAACTGCACTATATGAATCGTTTAAAATCCAAAAGTTAGATTTAAACGACATTAGAAAGACATTCGTTACGATACGGCCATCATTCCATATCTCTATACTTATGTAGGGGTCATATATCGAGGTTCAGCTTGTGATCGCCATGGATTAGGTCCTTGAGCGATTTTAGTAGGCATTATTAGTTGAAGAGCTTCTCTTCTGATTGTTTCATTCAAACATAAATAAATTATGGCCGGACTTCCTAAATTTTACTAATTATGATATTTTTCTGAAATTGTTACAATGCTACTACGATTTAACCCATGAATTTTTAATGTAAAATTTTTTTTAATGTTTGGAATTTTCGTGAAAAATGCAATGTTATTTGGTACCAAAATAACGCTACAATTCAATTTCTGTACCTTGTAACAGTACAAAGCCATAAGTACTCATTAGCACCATCCATTCCTGATCAGTGAAATATTGCTCAACGATGAAACCGACAATTGACATTATAAATGTAGCGCATGTGAGAAAAATTTGAATAAAGGTCTGAAATTTAAAATCTTTGCAAGAAGACTAAAGTCCCCAGACACCCATCGTGGCTCCTAGGTCGAAATTAGGGCATCAAAGAACATATGATTGACCGGCTTCTCAGTTAAGAAATTTAGCTAATTGCAGTGAAGGAAAGGCCATCGTTGGAATGGAATCAGTTTTTAATTACAGAATTTTCCAATGCTCTAGAGTAAAAAAAAGGCTTGTTTACTCCAATTAGCGCAGATTTCTTAACTGATATTTAATTATTTTAATTAATTAATTTCGGCCCAGGAGTCCAGATGTGTGTCCGGGGACTATATTTCATTTTCTACAAAAATTACATTGAACTCTTTCCGCTGTCGGCCATTGACGGACGTTGAATAAATATTTTTGAACTTCCTACGAAAAAGTACCACGAAAGCGAAATATATTCCAAGAAGAAGACTTATAACAATATAGTCATGAATATCCAACAGTATGCTGTGATACTAAAAACAAGCATTTTATAGTTCTTACTTCAGTTATATATGCGCCCAATATATTTTGAATTGCCGAAGTTAAGGTTAGAGACCTGCGGGTACCTCTAGCTTTAGGCGTAGATGGGGGTACTTTTAGATTTAGGAGTGAGCATTCTTATTGTGGCTGCTCGACTGCGTGACATTTGCAGCGCCAAACCCGCTGGTACTTTACAATGGAGAAGTATAAGTAATTAACTCAAAATAAGCCTGAAATAGGATAAATGAAAGGAGCTTACATAATCATTATTCGGTAAATAGTGCAAATGCGGATTCAGAAATAATCCAGTCGATATTGCATCAAATATAATGGGATTCGTGATCCAAGCGGTATAGCAGGAATATAATATTGGAAAAGAAATCCAAACACACAAGCGAGGACCTTTGAAGAAGGAGTCTGCCACATTCCAATCATAGATAGTTATACAACGGTTTATGGCCAAAATTACAAGGGTTACCGATTCCATGTGGTACAGAACTAGAAAGTATACGCAGTAGTAAGTATCTAACATAGTAAATAATAAGTACTTTGTAACGGAGACAATATTTTTACTTTATTTTATCTTTCATCTATTATCATCCTTATAGTAAGTTAAAGCTGTGAGTACGTCGCATGGGATTTTTGGGGAGTGAATTCTTAGGGGTGCTTAATTTTTTAAGGTGCCTAATTAGGGTAACTTTTTGCGGAAAATCCGAATTTGAGGTCAAAATTTAGCCAAAATGTACCATATTTTAGTGTAAGTGCAAATTTTCTGTCAGAAAAGCGTGACAATTTTTGGAAGGGGCATACTAACCAGTGCAAATTATCTTACCCCATAAACACTGCGAGACGCGGGAGGCGGCGAGCCAGTCCTGTGGTCGGGCGCGGAGCACCCGACCTTCCCCCTTGGAATGTGAGGGAACTTAGAACATATAGGTGTACATATAGACAAAATTTTTAATCGGACTCCCGTAGGGAGTCCCAAGCCGCTAGTCTACTATATGGAACCGCTGCTCAATTGCTTTATCGAAGTCCATCGGATAAAACAAATTAACTGACTTACATCATTACCCGTTTTGGGCGTTTAAAGACTATACAATTCACTTACATACTCCAAATTTGCATATCCAAAATATTGCAGCAGGTCTGGAGCAATACACGGCTCCTTCCAAGGTCCATATTCCCACAATTATGCCATCGATTAGAAGAGCGGTCATTTCAATAGCTCCCAAGAACAGCATAAGCCTGTAGCAATGTTCAGCGCGTTGGCGCCGACAAGCCATTGCGTACATACACGGGAGATAGCACACCTAGAGAATTTGCACTCATAATTTAATTTATTCCGCTTATAATTGCAAAGTTTGTTTTCGTTGAATACCCTGAAACAAGCACACCGAAGACAATTTTGCAGTAAATATATAATATCTGCATCTTAATTAGTACCAAACCAAGGTTTCTTCAACAAGTACCTCAAGAAAAACTGCTAACGTTATAAAAAGAATTCCACGGAATAAATGTGCTCTTTGCTCTACAGGTATTGAATTGACATCATAGCTTGAACAGTTATAGTATAGCGAGAATTCAGCAGGCTCCAAAAAATAAATTCTCAAGGACATTCTGTAAAAAATTACTCTTTAATAATACAGATTGGAGGTGATTATTCATTTTTGTTACCAGTAATTGGTGCGTAAA